TTTGTTTTTGTCAGAAACCCAAATCATTTCAATTTACTATCATAGAAGACTTCACATTTGAGGAGCTTTTCTTTTGGCATTTTTCATAAATTGATTTAGTGCTTTTATGGCTTGTGATTATAAAAAATCATTACCTGCTTGCAACAGTCAGAGCAGTTCAAACATTCAGGGACCTAAAGTGGTAAAACTATCAAGTATTTCATAAAAAGCAGGAAAAACTAGAAACAGTTGTATCATTCTGTTATCATATCAGTTTTATTTGATTTCTTATACAATAAGCATCTTGTGACTCCTCAGCTTTGAAGGTTGGGCACTGGACAAAATAATCTCATGAGGGATATATATATATATATATATAAATGAATAACTACGTTAGGTTATGTGGTTATGGTTATTATGTTTAGCGGTGACCTCTCTGAACAGTCCTCTCAATCTAACAATATAAATGTGATACAATGCAATGCAACATGGGTTGATGCTGTTTTAGAGTCATATGGGAGGTAGTAGGTATTTGATTCACATTCAATTTGATCATGTAATGCAATATATTTGCTTTCTTTCTGAGAGTTAGATCAGAAGATTAATACCACTCTCATGTGTACGTTAAATATGAAGCCAGCAGTTGGTTAGCTTAGCTTAGCATAAAGACTGGAAACAGGGGTAAACAGCTAGCCTGGCTCTGTCCAAAGGTAACAAAAACCACTTATGAGCACACCTAAAGCTTTACATCACCTCAGTTTAATTTGTGCAAAAACTGAGGTGTAATAACAAAAATTTGTTATTTCTTAGCCCGGACCAGTAACTTCCTGGAGTTTCTGCTAGTTGCCTGGCAACTGATCTTCTCATCTAATTCCTGGCAAGATAGAAAGGAAGCGTATTTCCCAAAACAACATTAAAACATTGATCACCTTTACTTGATTTTCTGCTCCAACTCCTTTGAATCTGTCAGCGTTTCACCTGAAAACATCTCGCATTAACTCTCTAGCACTGAATCCTGCTCTGCTCAGGTCAAACATCACAGATTTTACTGGAAAAAAGTACTTGAAAGACAGATTAAGAGGAGCTCTCTTTGTGCTTCAGAGGCTGCAGCGAGCTCTGCCCTTCCAAGCAGAAAATTCAACAAAACCTGCACCCCTCTAGACGATGATGTAATCTCTTACGGTTCTAATCTGAACATCATAACCAAAGGCGGCAAGCCAGCGCTGCGTTATGTAAGAGTGGGCACACACACACACACACACACACACACACACACACACACACACACACACACACACACACACAGGGAAGAAAGGAGTGTGTGAACAGGCCAATCATTTATGACCAAGGGGAGGACAGACAGACATAGTGAGAGGAACTTGAAATGCACTCAGGGCCACTTTGAAACCCTTAAAGCCGCTTTAGGGAGCCACATTAAAGGTAAAAAATAAAAAAATGTCACAAGGGAGGCGCTTGCTTTATAATCAAACTTTCATACTAATGAAATCAGATATAATTGTACCTCAGAGAGCGTAGTTTATGTCTCGTTAGCCGAGCGCTGAGCACAGTGCACCTCTACAGACATACAGATTAGAGATTATGGGACGCAATGAAGCAAAAAGATCAATCCATACCCACAAACACCACCACGGATTGGGATTATAAACCCTGCCTGTGTTCTGTGTTCATTTTCCAGTTTGTAATTACTCTCAGCTCAGTGTCATGCAGCGAGGCTGCAAAGAGACACAATAGTGGTGCAATCAAGAAGATGGGCTGTTTACCATAATTAAGGTAGCTAATGTAGTCACAGCTAATCAACATGCTCTTTACAGCAGGACTGTGAACGCAGCACCTGATGCATAATGTGAAGGGCTTAGTCTTTACAGTATTTAATACCTTTTAGACAAATGATTTAGCTGATAATTGTCGCTTAAATAATGAGATATAACAAGATAGTTTGCTGTATCCCAGTCTTTACGCTGAGCTAAGCATCATATTGAACAACACTCCTATAAGTCTCAGCAAGAAGCTAAAAAGAAACATATTTCTCAAAGTACCAAACTATTCTTTTGATGCAGGACAAATACAATATTACCTGACTGATACAAAATCTGATATACGGTCAGTTTTTGTCTTTTACATGAACCTATAAGACCCTAAAGATGCCTTAAACTTGGTTATTTAAGAATTGTGATGATATTGAGTGAGATAGTTCTACTGCAATTTCTGCAAGTTACTTATTGGCCTCCACATATAGCTACAGATTTTGGCCATTTACTAATAATAGTCCATATATGCGGATGGACCATATATCAGTCTGGCTCTAAAAGACAATCTATAGCATATGAATTAGCATCTATAGCTTATATAACTAGGTTATGTTTTATTAGATATGAAACAAACACATCTGGCTTGACTTGGTTTTTGACTTGGACTTATAAAAGGTTCAGATGAGTGCTTCCAATACCGATACCAGTATCGGAAATCCCTCCGATACAGCCTAAAATTCGGTATCTGCAAGTACACGACTCTGACAAAGGGTTTAACCTGAGGCATTTTAACACATGTATCAGATCAGTACCAGTCAGGTTCTGACTTCAACGTTCAGGAATTGTAATTCATACCGGGAAGGAAAAAATGGTAGCGGCATCTCTTTACAAAGCATTTAATTGTCACATTGGGCATCTGGGAGTTAAATTTCTGTAAGTATTTATTCCAAAATGTCCTACAGCTGCTTTCTGAATCAGAAACGTGTAGTCATGGAGCAGAAGAGGCGGCCCTGGCACACGCTAACACAAGCTCCTTACATGACAGCTCTTGCTTATTGCCCCCACTGTAAATCTTCAGCTTCTTAACGGATGCTATAAGCTTATGGTCACATTCCAGATGTCAAAGGCACACACAAATGATTACAACAACAAATAGGCCATCCTCCAATCCAGTCTATTTTAGTAAGCTGGTGTGGGAGGATTCGGTTGTGCAACATCACACCTGGAGCAGAAGAGTGCAGGCTGCAGAGGCTGGAACTGGGTGAACGCACCGTGATAATTTCACTGCTTCAACATAAAATGGTGATTAAGGAATTCAGAGGGTTAATTGCTGACTACAAATATGGCCACCCTCCTGCTCAACTATCCTCAGGGTCTTCAAACAGACTCGCCCACTCTGTTAATTGAAGTTGCATGGTAAAGGCTCTCATTGGACACCGGCCTGTGCATAGCAGCATGCCTCGGGAGAGGGTGATGTAATGTCTTTTTAAAACATCACTGCTGAGGGACACCCCACTCCTCTCTGCACCTTACGTCATACACAAACTGTGACCCAGCAATATTACCGTGGCAGGGTCTGAGAAGTGCTGCAAGAAAGTGTGTTGGCGCTGAGATTTTGAAGTCACAAAATCAGACAAAAAATATCATCTCCAGAAAAGCTAAAAAATAACAATTTCATTACATAAAATAGTAACATTTCCTGCCATGTTGTGACACTGAAACACAATTTTTATAATTGCTTCCAAAAAAGTTACATTTTACAACTCATTCAATTTTGTATATGCTTATTATATGAGCTTTTTCGTCATCCTTTCAAACACAAACCCTTCATTTGCACACATGAAACTGAATGAAAACTGCAGAGGAAGGAGCTCAGGAAACACTGGATGTTGCTGTGAGGTGAGTAAACCCCCTCCAGGCTCTGCACTCTGCTTGTATCAACTATCCTCCTCTCTAACAGCCAACAGGGCAAAAAGGCATCATGCCAGTTGAGCTGCAACACTGCTGTGGATTTGTAAATAAAAAGCTCTTTAATTTTGTTTATCAGACAGGTAACCTGTGCCTTAATATTCAAGTAGGTATATAGACAAGATGGCCTGTTGTCAGAGTTCCTTCACAAGCAACACTGCTGTCTCCACCTGCAGGATTTTACTACCCTGCCACCATGAAAACAAATCAGTCACATCCACTGTGTATGGGCGTCGATGCACAGAGGCACGCCTACACTGTTCCTACACACACATCAGTAGAGACACATCAACAGTTTGGTCGGACAAAATCGACTAATTCAAGGCTGGTGTTTGGTTTGCACATAAAACACTATTTTGCTTCTTATTTCCTTCTGCATGCAAACTGACACTGACACTGGGTTTAAACCGCATATGTCAAGTGCTGATGTGGGATTTAAAGGATGCTTATTGCAGTGTCACATTACTATTTCACATCTTTCATGAAGCCAGACTTGAATGTGTGCCCCCCCCCGCCCCACAGAGGCTCCTTTATCATGTCTGCGCGGACACAAACATCCATTTGCGCCAAGTGCACGGCTGATCGTCTCTTTCGCAACCCTCTTCCTCCACCGATGGACCCGACTGCTGCATCCATACAGAACACTGGCTTCATATGTTGCAGCGCCGTCGACTAATCACGCTCCTGTCAGATCAGACACCGAATCTCTGGAGGAAAGAGGGGGGGGGGTCGCCGGTCAATGATAGAAGCGGCTGCGGCGGTTGGATCGTGAAGCGGCTGCTCCACACCTGAACCTGAACAATGCCGCCGTGCACCGCGCGCACGCAGCCTCCATCGCCTCTTTATCAGCCGCTCATTAGACAGAGATAAGCTCGTGACGGCGCAGCAATGCAAAAGCAAATTGGCATTAATGTATGCACCATAAAACCCAGACCGTGCACGTTCCTCAAGCCCATCAACCCGCCCACCCTCTCATCCTCCTCCATCAGCCTCCAAATCCCCTCTGAAGGCGCAAAATAACAGAAAAACGTCGAACTGCGCTCGGGATTGGTGGGAATAATCTCAATCAGCTGCAGCAGAGAGATCTATTATTATTGTACTTTTTTCCCCCAAATCGCCCTCAAATAGGTGAGAGGAGGAGGAGGGGGGGGGAGAAAACACCGCTATTGTGTCGAGAAGCCATTGCAAGTAGGTTAAACCGCTCAGGCTGGCGCAGACGCGAACGTCTACAAAGCAAATAAAATGCATAAAAACGCGCAAATGTCAGCGGCTGATTGAGCGTACCTTTGCTCTCCTGTCCTTCGTCTTGAGTCTCCTCCGCGTTGGACTCCATGGCCGGCTTTGTCCCATCCATTATTTTAGCGGAATATAGTCTCCTTGTGGCACTTGTACCTTACAGTCTGTGTGGATGGTGGAGCCTATCCTGGTGACTTGATGCTCGCTCGCTCGCTCGCTCTCTCTCTCTCTCTCTCTCTCTCTCTCTAGCCTCGTACACACCCTCCCTCTCCCCTCTCCCCCTCTCTGTTAAAGCTTAGCACTGTCTCTCTATGTATATTCAACAATCCAGTTTCAAGATGCAAAGGCGCTGTCAGATTGGATTTATTTCGCCCCAAATGACGCAAGAAAACGCCTTTTGCCCCCTAAACCCACTCCTGACTGTGGAGAAAATGAAGCTCATGCTGTAATATACTTCTTAAATATCTCTCCTGATGATACATGGTCGTATTTATGAGGGTCTATTCATACTTCATTCACTTTTTTTCCTCACTAAGTGTCACTTTGTTGCATCAGTGGTTTCCTCTGTCCCTGGTCTGCAGGAGATTTTATTTGTATTCTTTGCCTCAGTGAAGCAGAGGACGATATAAAGACAAAATGTGCAGGAGATGTAAATATGCAAACTCATGGGTAACCATGCATGCATGAACACACACACACACACACACACACACACACACACACACACACACACAACCACACACTCACCGCCCCCTCTCCATCTGGTGAGTTGAAAGTCAAGAGAGGAAGAGAGGAGGGTTGGAAATAAGAACAAAATTAGAAGATCTGGTGTGCTATAAGAGAGCAAGTGTGTATGATAAGAAGTCTGAGAGAGGAAGGACTGATTGTGGGTTCGAGGTTCCTCTCTCACCTCAAAATGGCAAAGAAAATGTGCACATTTAAATCTGAGAGTGAAATAAATCAACATCTGCCATTTGTTCATTTGATACAGATATTTTCATCCAATCAGCACTCAGAGGACGAATGTGGTCGTGTATAATGATGCTTAAGTCTCAACAAGCCAGTGAGCAAGATCCGACGCTCATATCCAACGCTGTCAAAATATTATTCCCATTGGAATAAAGAAGGCAAACACACACACAGAGGAGGATGCTCAGTTGTGTGTGTTGTTGTTACACATGTAGCTACTTCAATGTGCTTTCCTTGGTTTCCTTTTGTGGAAAAACAGCTTCACTTTAATTGATATGAGCGTTGATTGGATCACCTTTGACCAATCAGAGCGCCTTAATTTAACAGCCATGTGCCTGGCTTTATTAAAAAGGGGTCCCTTTGTTTGCCTCCGAGGATGCTGATTGGCTGAGTGCAACATCTCACAATCCAGTTAGAAACAAGGCAAGGTGAATCCTTGAGAAATTGGTCAAATAAAAGGTGGGTGTGGTGTGTTTATTCAGAGAAGAAGAGGGTGGGGAGGGGCGGAGGGGGGGTGCTGTTTCCATCATTCACCCCATTTTCTAATAATAAACACATCCTGAAACAATGGGACGCCATCTGTCCTGAATCCTCTTAAATAAGGTTTTAATTCGGGCCCACGTGGCCCCGTTTCAGACAAAGCTCAGCCCACACAAAGTCCTGGAACCCCCCCCCCATTCACACACACACTGCAGACAGAGGTGCCCCCACCAGTGCCTGATGTTTTCCTCCAACAAAAACGCCAGACACCAGTGTGACATATATGACATTTACTGGATCCACTTACCCCGAGGGCTGAAATTAACACCCACTCTGCACCATATGCTGGAGAATCAAGGAGGGTCACCCATCACACTGACTTTTGACATTTGAATGGCTCTCTGATATTGAGCCACCGGGAAACCTGATCCACTGCATAAATGAATGACCAGGTTTAAAGCAGAGCCAGAAGGTTACTGTTAGCTGCTACCACATAAAAAAATAATGTTTTATAATGTTATCATTAGCATTTGGGTTGTAACTAATGATCACCTTAACTGTCGGTTAATCTGCCAGTTTTTTCTTGATTTATTGTCTGGTCCACTAAAATGTAAAGTTATAGTAGAAAAACTTAATTTCTAGTGTTCAGGATTATGATATCAGTTTATCAGACTTTAAGACTTATAGGTCTATAAAGCTATAAAACATTTCAGCATGAAAACATCTATAAACACTAGACCTGTGTTCTATATGTAGTTGAGTTGTGTTCTTACATTATCCCAAATATTTCCAACAATGTTCAAACTCAGAGAAATCTGTCATTTTACTCATGCGTTTCACAGGTCGCCTGTCAGTGGGGTCATATCCCCTTTGTGCATGCGTCAGCATTGTGGTAGTCTGCCAGACGCTGTTATAAATTTACTTTTAATCCAGTTTTAAGCCACATTTTTACCATCCACCGACGTCTGGATCTTAAGTTATCAGAGAAACAAGCTGAGCTAACGTCCTCTCCAGGACGTCCTTTTGAGAAACAATGATTTTTAAGGTTAAACTGCTTCATTCAATGTTTTTACCAGTTAATCACTGGGTTAATTTGGGAGAGGAGGAGACCTCTGCGGATAATTGGAGAATCTCTTGCAAGTCCCATTATCCACCACTACTTAATGACGTCATCAAACTTTGTCTTTTGTCTTTATTGTTGTTACACCCTTGTGGAGAAAAAAGACATATTGTACATTTAAATAATGACCTAAATTAAGCCTTATTCAACACTTTTCAACTCATGAATCCTGGAAGATGAGACCTCATTAGTGTCTCATTTTAACACAAAATCAAAGGAAAACAGGAGTTTGCACATAAAGAAGTTAGGAAGCTGAGACAGTACAATATTTTAGGCATTTTAGCCATAAATGCAATTTTAGTGCCCAGTTTTAGTCATAAGCGCCCATTAGTCCCTGATTACCAAATCTTTTACCTATCTAGCAAGGCAGATTATGTTTATCTATAAATGTGAATATGTGTTTATGTGTATAACTTCTATTGCAACACCAGTGATGTTATCTGGTTGCATAACTCACTTTTAAAACAAACAAGTTCCTGTTTCATATTAAGATTCAGACAACACATGTAGAAAGACAGACAGGAAATCATAAACAATGTGGTAAAAGATATTACCAATTCAATTTACATTGATTCCTTAAACACAATTTAATACAGAGGATGATTTTCTTTTCAGTTGCCTTTTAATGTGAATTAATGACTAATTCAATAGTCCTGTATATTTCCATTATAGTCCTATAGTGGTTTGTGGTGCTGCTTTAATAGAAGCCCATACAAAGAGATTCTTTCCTCATGGATAAAGAAGAATAATGCAGGTGTAAATGACATAATGCCTTTCTTACAGTCAATACGATGCGCAGGAAGAAAAATCCTTCCTTTGTAGTCTGACTAAATCACACACACACACACACACACACACACACACACACACACACACACACACACACACACACACACACACACACACACTGTAAACTGTCAGTTATTAGGCTTGAAGGGTGAGTTTCAAGTCCCATTTTTCTCCCAGAACCCCCATAATCCCTTGCTGGGTCACACAGATTAAAGACTTGTCCAGAAGATGAGATACAGTGCTCGCTGGCACCCTCACCCTGTTACACACACACACATATGCTGTGCTTGGACTCGGGCCCAAATCTCCAACTAATGTTGCGTTCCAGAGACGGCAGAAAGTTGGAAATCTCATAGTTGCTACTCGAAAAATATAACAAAACATCTCTCTTTTTCAAAGTAGGATTTCTCAATCCAGGATTCAGTTACCGGCACATCACAGCTGACATTATATGCATATGAAAAGATATCACAGTGGTCTGCCTGACTGTTTGACTAACAAATTATCTCTGGGAGATGTTGTGCAGCATTGTCACCGCACAGAGTTCAGGACAAAAGACACAACTGCACTATACCAACATTCTGCACTTTTATATAAAAACCCTCAAATCTATCGGTCTAATTTATGTGCATCCCAGCTCCTCCTTGACTTGTCTCATGTATCTTTCCTCCTCTATCACTTTTCTCCTTTAAGAAGAAAGAGAGAAAGCAAATCCAAACAGATCTTCAACTGCCACCCAACAATATTAAGAGCATTTAGGTTGTGTACAACTCCACTTCTGCTTGATACACAGCACATAATCTGGGTGCAAATTAAGGAGCAAATAGGTTGTATTTAGTCTCTTAATTAATCTGAGGTGTGTTTTTGGCGTAACATGAAATAAACTAATCAGAGTGTCATCTCTCATACCTTTTAAAGGATAGTTGCGCTTGCACCTGGCATATTGCTATTTAAACAGTGGATTCGGCAAGTTGGAGAAGTGAGGAAACGGAGCTGCTTGTGCACTTATCCCTCCAGGCTGTAACAGACATCTGTAATCCCCTGTCAGATGATTTGGAGACTAATGCCAGCTGTCCCTATACACTCATACCTCCAACAGACCTCAGACTGGTCACTTGCAATGTAATGCAGCACAGCAGTGTCTTTTGATAGCAATGGGAACCCACCTATGTTGGAAAATCTTACAATCTGGATAATGCATTCTTTAAATAGCAGGAAAATATTGCGCCATTGATTTTAGACCAGGTTTTTGTTGGTCAGGGGTGAGATTGCTTTCTGCTGCCTAAAAATAGCATTGGCCTACAATATGCTTGACCACACCTAATTTTAAGACCAACATCCACATGAGTGCACAGATGGGTGCAATACATTTGCAACAACACTTGTGTGCTGTGTGTTGCTTTGACAGGGTGTATGATCGGGTCTGAAGAGTCTGCAACCATGCTAGAAGCTCTCATAATGCTCACAATGGCAATGCTACTGATGCTTAGCAGGTATAATGTTTACATTGTTTACCATCTTAGTTTTGCATGTTAGCATTCGCTGAACAGCACTGTCCACAATCCACAGCTGAGGTTGATTTCATTAGTTTTTCTGGACAAATAAAAGTGTGACCTGATGATGGCTTTAGATTAAGTCAGGGGATTACTTAAATTGTTATGATTGGCAATCCATCCAATAGTCGGTGAGATATTTCTGTCTGTAGTAAAGCAGTGGATCAACTGAGCCTCACTGCAATCCGTGGATAAAAACAAATCTGCATTGTTTCATATTTAATGTATGGACAGATAGATTTGTGAGAGAGAAAGTGATTTGTGCAGCTCCTCAGATCAAAAGCATTTACAACTGTGTGTGTTTGTGGGATTCATATAATC